TTATAGAAAAATATAATTATGTAATTTTTCCATAAAAAGTATATTTGTAAGATATATTGGGTGCTTTCCATTTAGTAACAAATCGACAAAGTCATTCTATCCTTCTGGGCTTTCAATGATTAACAAGGACAAAATGACACTTATCATTAAATGGAAAGCACTCATTCAACAACCCCCAAACAGTTACTATCATAAATCGAAAATAGATTAGAGTCGGTAATTCCTCCCATGGTAAAAAGTTGTCCTTAAGATCACTCTATATATATATATATATAATGTGTGTGTGTGTGTATGAGAGAGAGAGAGAGAGAAATATTTCAATACACGCATTCGATTATATAAGTTTTTTATTTGACTAATCAATTAAAACATTTTTACACATTTAAAAGTAGGAATAGAATCTCCTTTGATGTTCAATTCCATACCTTTTTACTTACTTAATCAGTATGACTACGTTACATTTCTTTAACGATATAAATGATCAGCATGAATATTACTAGCAATTTCGGATTCCCACTTGTCTCCATTATTTAAAAGCTTCTCCTTGTTATACAGCATTTCTTCATGAGTTTCAGTTGAAAATTCAAGTTGGACCCTGGAAATTGTTTTCACTTATTGATTCAACAACATTCGACCTTACTATTTTTTTCCGTTATTTATGAACAAGTACCTCAACGATAGCATCTACTGGACAAGCTTCTTGGCAAAAACCACAATAGATACATTTAGACATATCAATATCGTATCTCGTAGTCCGTCGAGATCCATCTGCTCTTTCTTCTGCTTCAATTGTAATAGCTTGTGCAGGACAAATCGCTTCGCATAATTTACAAGCAATACATCTTTCTTCTCCAGAAGGATACCTTCTTAATGCATGTTCTCCTCTAAATCTAGGACTTAATGGTCCTTTTTCAAAAGGATAATTTATTGTTGCTGGTTCTCTAAACACTTGAGACAAGGTAATTCCCAATCCACGAACAAGTTCAAGAAAAAATATATGTGTGCTTGCAGCTTCCATAATATCTGACCAATTTTTGTCTTTCTCTTCATTTACATAGTAATATTTACTTCGATTCAAGTAGATGTTCATTCCATTTGGAACAATCTTAATAAATCTTGGAGCTAAAACATTTATAATTTTTAAAATTATTATTCTAATTCATTATATTTGCAAGAAAGTTTTCTTTATTATAAATTCAAGTTTTATAAATTAGCAAAATAAGGATATATATATGAAATATCAAATAACTAGATATATAGATTACAACTGATGCAAAACTGTTCCCTTTTTATTGCTACTTTTATCCTATTCATTTCTTTGTTATTTCACATATATCCTCTTATACTGGTAATTTATAAAATTTTATATATATATATATATATATATATATATATAATAATAATAAGTAGTTATAGTATTCTTGTTTATTATTAGTAGTTGTATTATTAGTTACATGTGTGATATATATATATATATATATAAAAAACTCTAAAATTAATAAAACAAGAATCATAAACTCTTTATACGAGAATCAACTAATGTAACACTTAAGTGTGTTGTGTCTCTAACAGGGATACGAAAACAAGAAAAATATTAATCAAAATCAGATCATAGAAATCATATGATCATCATACCAATTTTTCTAGTTTGCGCTATTATTTGCAAAGGTCCCATCATTACTGTCTCTCAATTTCTTGAAGATTGACGGAATTGACGAGCGTGAACAAGCTCTCTTTAAGAATATTTCTTAACAAACATTTAGCGGACATTAATAAAATCGGCCGATACACAAATTACTTACGTACATTAAGAGACATACTACCTATTAACGCGGTTCCAATGATGCCATGATGTAACGTTACAGTGTCGCATACTATAGGCCGGAATAAGCATAAGCTTGGATGCAGACACTAGCGCTTTGACACAGATGCTGATTGGTGAAAAATGAGTAGTGGGATAAAACGGCGAATAAATCTTTACTATTTATCTCCATTATCCGTTTTTCATTAATCAGCGCTCGGTGTCAAAGCGCCGGTCTGCATGAGGATCCAGGCTAAGGCTGCATTCCGATATTCATTACCAGTACTGAAAATCTATAATATAAGTTACCTGAATATATATTTTCAGTACTGGTAATGAATATTAGAACGCAGCCTAAGTTAGGCTGATAGCAGAGGACGAGATGTAAGCGTTTACGCTCTCTGCTCTCAGCCTTAAATCAGAGAGAAGCCTGAGAACGAACATGCCCGCGATTTAGCTGTAATCTTATTTTGAAGCGCTTCTATGTCCAAAAACGTGAATATTAAACTACGTAGATGGCGTCCGATTGCCCACATTGCCGATTGGCCAATTTAAAATAAAATTATTTGATTGGTTGATTCAGTAGAAAATCTCCAGGCATCGTCGCTGTAAGTGGCTATGTCCAATTGCAACGTGGTCAAACGAGATGCTCTCAACTACGTAGTCAATATCCATGATCCTGTAATATCCACGATTGCATGGTTCTCATTCGTGGTGCTGTCCACGATTTTGTGGTTTTGTTCCGTGCTATATGCAGGAGTAACAGTTAATTCGATAAAGAGGCACGATTAATCTCTATCCGTCCTTGGCTGAGTTCAGGAGTGCGCTATTAGAACTATCGCATCAGTCTATCTTCAATTTACATATAATGAGCAATAACGATGAAATGATGTGATGGTGCTAATAGTGTGCTCCCCGAACGCAGCCTTGTCTCACAAATGTGAATATTATCTACAATATCATAGACATTAGCTACGTAGTTTAATGTCCATGTTTTTTATGAACATAAAGACGCTTCAAAATAAGGTTACAATTAAATCGCGGGCATGTCTGCTTTTAGGCTGGTGTCCCATGGCGCGGAAATCCAC